CCATGGTCACCTTAAATATTCTTTGTCACTATTGGACAAATTATTTCAGTTTTAAACATCGCCATTTATTCTTATACATCCATTATCGAATAGAATAAAAACAAATTGCCTTGAATGATTTTCGTGTCTGGTTGGCGTTTTTAGATCTTGAGGGTGTGGGTGAGGATGGGTAAATGAATACTATATACTTTTATCCGATATTTCGTATCTTATATGTAATAAAAATGTATCGGTATGATTGAAAATATTTGAATAGATTTACTACATCTATTCTTAGTAACAAAAAATTCTCTTTCGATAAAGGAATTATAAGTTTATTCAGACGAACATTGATTTTAACTGTGAGTAGATAATACATCTATTTTAAATTGAATTAGAAAAAAGTAATGAGTGAATATATAAACTATTAATTAAATATGTGTTAATACAAAGATTAAATTTTGTATTTCTTATACAAAAATCAATTCCAGCGAATGGTAAACAAATGTTATGATAATGAAAAGAAATTTGAATAGTTTGAGCAAAATAAATAAATAAAAGTACATGATTTTATTTATATCGAAGATCCTTTTGGGTAAAAAATAAATACAATGACAAAGTGAAATTGAGCAAAATTTCAAAATGGAATGATAAAACAATTTAAAAGAAATAAAACATTATACATTGGAATGAGATCATCAATCAAATCAGATTTTACTGTTTTGTTATTCAAATTTCTATTACGAACAAAAATATTCAAACTATTTTAATCATGTTTTATTACAAAAAATTCGTTTTCTATCACATTAGCAGATTCAGAAGAATAATTCGATTATAATATAATGAAATATGTAGTTTGTTCTTAGGAAAATGTTATTTCATGTGAAGATATGCTCGAAGTAAAGAGATGCAGCGAAAAAATTTCGAAAAATTCGTTCTTTTCTTATTCGAATTTTTATAAATTGTAGATGAAGAATTTTATATGAATAATATAGAAGATATTTCAAAAGAAATGAGTAATGTCGCACTGATTATTTCCATATTTTAAATCTATTTGAACTTCTATTGTTTATAACATGTGTCAATACTTTTATTGAACAAAGAAGAAATGTATTTAAATATAAAACAACCAAAAACATATTTTAATTATAACAGAAACGTTTGGTCTAAGCCTTTGAACATAATCAAAAAATCTCGTTAGAAAATGTGTTTTGAATTTGGTCATTGTGACATTTACTTTTTCTATCCATATGTATAGCGATGATATTTTGAATTTAGTAGAGTGATACATGACATTTTAATATAACGCGATTCTCAAGTTATTATATATCGTTTCTCAATGAATATTATTTGAGATCATAAGAATAAAGTATAGAGATAGTTAACGAAAAAAGAAAGAGATTAGAAGTGAATATGTAATGCACATTTAGTGTATTACAGTTGTTGCAAAGAATTTCATTAATATCTGAAAAGAAGAAGAAGAAAAAAGAAAACTAATTTCAATCCCTTTGAATAGAGTAAAAAGATACACATATGTGAAGCGAAACATATAGACATAACATGTTTTTACTTCATTCATTTCTAACTTCAACTTTCACATGTGGACTTACTTATTGTTTTTTATTGTTATATCAAATGCTCAAAATATTCGCACATTGAAATTATTTAAAATAAATAATATTCAATATCAATGTAATAATCCCGGATGTTCATCTTCAACTATCGTTTATGTATCAAATTTAATCAGATGTGAAACTGCTTGTTTAACAAATACAGAATGTCGTACAGTTACTTTCAATTCATCAAATAATCGATGTGAACTATTTGTTGATATTATTGAACAATATGGAAATATGATACCACAAATAGGTTTTATTACAATGACTGCAATTGATAATAGACGATTATTTGCTCGTAAGTAGAAATTGAAAACATTCATTCGAACCATTTCAGATTTATACTAATGAATTATTATGAGAAAATCTTGTTTTTGAGAGTGAAAAATAGAATTTTAGAGAGATGGAATTTTCATTGCATGATAAAATCATATTGAAGAATAATTTTATTTCAGCTACGACAACAACAACTGCTACTACTACTACAACAACTACCGCAGCTCGTAAGTAAATTAAACTCTTCCACAAAAAAGTTCTTTCGTTTTCTTAAACTCAGCTCATTTCGCAATAGTCTTATTTCTCAACTAATACTAAACTGCTTCTTTATTCTAAAACTTACATTCAAATTACGATTATCTGCCTGATTTGATTCATAGTATAAATGGAAAATACATTAGTATAACTTTAATTTCCTACAAGTTCAAGAATGAATTTAGTTTTCAACTATTTCTTAGATTTTATTCCCTCTATTCTTACTCTTTCCTAACTCTGCATCACTATGTAAATCTCTATGCATCTATTTTTGAAGTGATATGAGTTTGTTGATGATCCATTTATATTGTAACTACAATCAGGAAATTCATTATTTTATTTTAAGTGAAAAGAGTCAAAATTCTTAATATGATTTTCATTAGGTATATATCGAAACACATTATCACATTGTACATCTTCTCATTTTATTATTTAGCCACCTGTGCAAATACATGTTCTAGTAGTGGAACATATAGTAGTAGTGCCTCTACCACCTGTGGTCGATTTTGTGAAACTATCCCTCCTGGTGCATTCGGTACCCCTACTGGTAGTGTTGGAAGTAACGGTACTTGTTATTCTACGTCTACATTTTGTCCCGGTGGTATTTATACTATTCATCGTAATACTTATAGCACTGTGAATTTTGATTGTGAGTCCAGTTATGGTTGTACTGGTTTCGGTGGTTGTTGCACTGGTATTGGCAATATCTCTGCTCCGAATCATTACTGTATTTCATGTTCTTTAAACTAACCATCTTAATTATTTAGCACTAAACAATATTTTATTTGTTTTCTCTCGTGTTTCTATTTGACATATACATTTCATCAATATGCTTGTTTTTAATCTCTGTCATACTTCACTCGTGTCTAAATTGAATTTAACCATGTTTTATTTCATTACATCATTTTGTTCATTCAACAGAAAATCCATCAATCTATCTATGATCACTATTGTACAGTGTGAAATTTTCTATTTGCGCAGACTGTACCTTCAGATGTTGAGAAGAAACGGGTTCTATTTTTGTGTGTGAGAGAGAGAAAAATAGTGGAAATCATCAACTCTATAGAAACAGAAAACTTATAATTCCAGTATTCGAATTTTTAACTTTCCATCTATTTCAATCATTCAGCTATTCTACACTTTGACTCTTAGATTCTTGAAATGAAATATCATTTCAATAAAAATCTTCATATTCCGTTACAGTTTCATCAGGATTAATTCAATTCTATTGACTTCGATTCATATAAAACATATTTCATTTGACGACAAAAACGTTTTGATATTACACATATATGTAGAAAATAAATTCTAAAAAGATAAAAACAAAATATCTCACTCCATCAGTTCAAATATTCAACATAAGTGTTAAAGTATTGATTAAATTCTATTGAGCAACGAAAATTGGATCTCGATTTGTAACTAAATAAGACACTTGTGTAAAAACATAAACACAAATTTCAACAAGATTCATTGCTATTAATTGTTTATCCAATTCATGGTGAATCAATGGATTTGTTCGAATTGTTAATATTCGCGTATTTCGATAAGTCGTCAATCCAAATATCACTACAACGAAAGGAAAAGGACCGGTTAACGCAAAAAAGATATTCATAAATGTGATAATTGTCGAAAATATGTCACATACAATATATTATGACAAATTCAAATAATTCAAACAAAAATTGTAAGACGATGAGCAACTTTAATGTTTAACCATTGTGAACGAATACAAATTGCCAAATTTTGATCAATTATAGGTAAATATAAAAGTGTAATTTCATTAATAGAACATGATAAACCAACAAAACTTCGAATTTGACAATAAAAGAAGTTCAATTGATCGTAAATGACATCGGAATAATAACTAATGTTGTACTTATTATTAATCGAGTAAAATTGAATGATAATATAGAAAGAAGACAGAATGCATAGGAATTTTGTCGAAATGTTTTTGAAACAAGAAGAATAATTGCGAAAAGTTTATTAATGAAACTTAAGAAATAAATGCAATTGGCGATATAACGAGAAAATTGAGATCGTGAATTATAATATGATGAAATATAATCCATATTAGTTTTCAAAATTATGTCAATAAATCAAAAGAGATGAACTTTTAGATTATACTTTGATAAGAAAAAAAAGAAAATTGTTCAAAAGTCTTTTTTTATTTTTTGTAAATAAACAGAAAATTAATGTCACCTCTCTTTCTCTTGAAATCAAACTATTTTCAATACATTATTTCGTAAGAGAAATATCAAAAATTAATAAAATGTTACTCAATTAAAAAGCACATCCTTCGAGACATTTTATCATATTCTAATTATCAATACTAACTGTTGTTTTATATGTTAAATATATCTTTGAATGTGAGTGTAATATGATAAAAGATTGTTTTCTATTGAATGAAATTTAGGAAAATATTTTAATCGGAATAGATGTTATGTAGAATCTATCGATTAATTTGTCAGAAACTGCAACAAATACATTAAATTCATTTCTCTTCTGTTTAAACGCGTTACACGTCACACTGGAGGCTATGATTTTGAAGTCACTGTTTAGAGAACTGATTACTCTCGTTTTATAGAACAACTAGTGGAGGTATCCGCTGCAAATGAAGAAATATTTTAATCATTTTTAATCCTCACTGTCATAGTGAACCTTCTTTTATATTATCAAACAGAATAAAGTTGATTTGAATGATGTGTGTCTCTAGTTGAGATTATATTATATATTGTCATCTCACTGACTCATACTTATGTTTACGTTCTTTGTGATGAATTGCCACGTGTCGACATTTCGCTTTATGATGCAATACTAATATATACGATAGTATTTGTGAAAAAAATCTGTTTAAAAACAAAAGAATTATCGTCGATGTCTTCGTTTATCTGTCAAGTACCACCAGATGTATCGGTTCCACAGCGATACATTGTAAATCTTGATTTACCACCAGCAGTCAGATGGCAACATATTCTTCGGTTATATCTCGATCAATTTCATGCAGTTGAAAAGAAAATTGATTCAATGATTAGTGGAATCATTGGTCAATGGGCAGGTCCAATACTTGAAACAATTTTATCAGCAGTTATGTCTGGTATAACAAGATTGGGATTAGTTTATTACGGTGAAGAATTAAAAGGATTTTCTCAAGAAACAGGAATACCATTAGGAAAATTAGTTTTGATTCAATTTGTNCATGCAGTTGAAAAGAAAATTGATTCAATGATTAGTGGAATCATTGGTCAATGGGCAGGTCCAATACTTGAAACAATTTTATCAGCAGTTATGTCTGGTATAACAAGATTGGGATTAGTTTATTACGGTGAAGAATTAAAAGGATTTTCTCAAGAAACAGGAATACCATTAGGAAAATTAGTTTTGATTCAATTTGTCTATGAATGTTTCGCATGTTGTACATCGATTGTATGTCAAGATAAACAAACAAAGGTTCCAATACATATTCGAACAATGGACTGGGAATTAGATTTCTTGAAACCATTAACAATCGGTATTGATTTCTTATTCATGTCAAAAACTAAATTATATTTTCAAATTTAGATGTTGACTTTCAAAAAAATAATCAAACGATTTTTAAAGCAACAACATGGATTGGATACATTGGAATTCTAACTGGAATGAGGGTACATAATGGATATTCTGTATCGGTGAATTTCCGACATACAGGTGGAGCATTAACGGCAAATTTAAAAACAGCTCTAGCAAGGTAAAGAATCTCTATTTTATATTGAGATTTTCTATCTGGTGAATTTTTTTATCAATTTGTAAGCGGTTGGCCAATTGGTTTTCTTGTTCGGGAAATCTTGGAGTCAACGAATACTTATGAAATGGCTGTTGAACAACTTGCTCAATCAACAATTATTGCCCCATGTTATTTTACTGTGTGTGGAACAAGGCAAAGTCAAACAATTGGAACCTTATTAACGCGAAAACAAAATACGGAAGAGAAAAGGTAAAATATAAAGTACAAGATTTATATATTCAGACACCTTTGTTTTATGAAAAGATGGATCGTGTCTGAACATGGAACAATTATACAAACAAATATTGATCATTGGAGTTCAGAACCAAATGAAGATATTCTATTTTCAATTAGACGTCGAGATTTATCGAAACGATTGCTAAATCAAATGAAAACAATGAACGAAGAAAACTTATGGAAGGTAATTACATATATGAGCAATCGAGTAGAAATTTATCAATCTACTTACTTGTAGTTAATATCTGAATATCCAATATATAACAATATCACAATTTATGGAACATTCATGTGTCCAGAATATGCTATTTATCATACGCGATATCCACAGGATGATATACAATTTCGATCGAAAGAAGAATCACAATTTATCCCAATAAATGATTTGAAAGTAGGTTACTAGATTTATATACTGAACAAGAATGACTTGTTTTCATTTTCAATAGACAACTTCTTCCTGTGCGTCGATACCATCCACTCATATTTGTCATAAATGTAAACGTGAATTTGATATCAATAATAATTCAGGTGGTGATTGTGCACATAGTGGTAAATGGCATGCAAAGTACGACGACTGCTCTTACTTAAAATGTGGTTTCCATTTGGGTAAAGCAGTCTCTATCGGTAAACAGCATTGGTCATGTTGTTATTCATTGGATCAGCATTCAACTATTTGTAGTAAAAGTGCTTCACATACTTTCATTTAACGATGAATGATTGCGTGTTTTTATTTTATTTTTCCCACGAAAATAATGTAGAAAAATGACATATTGAATCGCAGAATGATTCATGCGAAAAAGAATATTCTCGATTCATATATTACACGTTGTGAAAAAATATACCATCGCGTCCGTTTTTGTCCTTTTCATTTCATACTTTGTTCGACAAGAAGTTGTTGCACAAGATAGCAGAGTGACAAATAAATCAACCAATAGCATCGTGCAAATGTCTTCCTCATTATTATCGAATACTGATACTCTTTGCGTTATATGTTCAACAAGAAGTCGTGCACTGGCACTAGTACCATGTGGACACTTCAATGTGTGTGTGCAATGCGGGCACGGTTTACTTATATGTCCGACATGTGAAACAAGTGTTACAGCTTTGCTTCGGGTGTATGATTAATCTAGATATATGATCGGATGTTGCACTAGGTGATCATTTTTCCATAAGCTAGTCAAGAAATAATTGATCTATTGAGAAAAATTTGGTATGTTTTAAATAAAATGTGATAAATCAGATTTTCTGATGTGTTCAATTAGTTTGCATTCACAACAATATTTTGGTAAAGCATTTACTGTGTACTCTGGAACGAATTATTTTCATAATTAAGAAAAGGGGGATATCTTTGAAAAATATACTGAGCAACCTATATAAAAACTACGAATCAGACTTGTTCATCGTACTAAACAGTTGAAAGCAAAAGAACAGCGGATACGCCGACTATTGCATCACATACTTATGGTGTCCCGATACAAATTCGTTACATTTACGTATGGATTCATCTATGTGTGTACTTTTTCCAAATGCGATGTATGCCACGTTGCCGACATAAGAAAATTTCTACAAGTACATCAGTGTTTTGTGGAGAACAGCGAGCACAACATATTTTCACGGATGGAGATACTTTCGATCATCAAACAGTCTATATACAAACGATCATCTCTAAAAGATATACTAGATCATCAAAATTTACAAAAGAGATCATTGCATCATCTCTATTTTGCTCACTGAAATAACATCTCGCCATCTCAAATTGTCTGCTATTCAATCGAATTGGAGTACATTCAATGAATTTTCAGTGTGGAAAAAATCTTGTTTGTTAGTTGTTCCATTGGAATCATATACGTGTTCTGTTGGTTTGAATGTATATTCATGTAAAAATTCAGTTGGCCTTGCTATTGCATTCGATTTATGTCTAGTTAGTGAAAAAACACGTGTTTAGCCACTGGGTAAACGAAAAGGAAGAGAACGTCCAAAAAAGGTTAACAAAAACTTATGCTAAATAAGTTTTATCGAATTCATTTCTCGATTTTTTCTTCTTGCCATATACATACGATCATTATTTTTTGATACAATCTAAAAAATAAAGATAATGAATGAACTTTAAAATCTAATGATCAAAAATACTTAATCCCCATTTCTACACCCTCACATAGCTTTACAATCTGTTTTCTTTTTTCTGTAAGTATTGCATTAATATAATTTCTATGAGCCTATCTCATAGTATTATCATTTCAAACAACATCAGTATTAAGATAATGTCGCAACTTCAAATGTGCTTCGGACATTTGGATCGATTACATGAAGCACGTCTGTGAATAATTTCATTCGTGCTTTAGATGTTCATTCTTTTCGAAAACCAAATCCAGCTAGGAAAACTCTTCTATACGCATGTTTACTGACATACAACTCACAAGTATGTACTGACTAGCAGAGAACTTTGTTTTACTCTTGAAATTTCGTTGATAGATGCATATCTTCGAGAAAACACTTTGATGCTTAGCTTATTTACGATATCTATCATGAGATTTGCCGAAAACACTTCGAAATTGATCAAATAACCACAAGCCACATATCATTCGTCATCGTTGATATCGTTCGAGATCTTATCTTCTAGTTTATTTGATGAAACTATCGCGAAACAGAGTAAAGTTTGCGGTTCAAAACTAATCTACTTCATGAAATCCAAACGATAAAATTTCAAAAGAGAAGATATAAACGAAAAGACACGTGTCCTCGCCGTGTATAGAAGAACAGAAATAGAACTTGATCTTTGTTTTCTTTCGTTTATAAATAAGATGACTAAACCAATGCACATATCATATGATAGCGATGATGCACTCGATTCTTTTAATAATATTAATCACATGTCAAGTATGAAACCATTAACATGAATTATCGATCAAACTAATTTAATCTTTGTTTATTTTCATATCAAAAAGATCTGTACATCCACAGTTTTATTTCGTCTAACAAGTAAAAATCCAAATGTTTCAATCGATTTCAGTTATTTTCTGGGTACAATGCACGTTTCGCAAAATTTTATTTGGCCTTATCTTACAAATGAAACAATGCGAATCTTCAACGACAGTGAACAGATCTGGTTCGAACATGATTTTACTGATCCAGCTGTCACTAAACATATATATACATGTGCAGTTGATCGAATGACACCAACACTATTATCTCGTATCCGCACAAAGACATGGCCAGAATTTCTCAACGAAACATCAAACAGTCTTTTATCAAAATCGAATAGTATTTTCTCTTGATGTCTCATTCCGACAGCCAACGTTAGATCGTTTTCTAGATACTGAACAATGGCGAACATGGTTCATAAATAAGCAAACAAAAACGAATAGTTATTTTACACGTAATCACTCTGTTGACAGTGATATTATATTTGATCATCGATTGGTTCTCGAAGCCTATCGACAGAAAAAGTTCGTTGGTTCACTTGAACCGATTCCGAATGATTGTTTTCAAGTAACTATTGATAACACACCAATTTGTCTGACAATAAAAGTTGGTTTATTTAGATGTCAAATCCAATCAATGGAACAGATTCGTCAAAATCATCGGATTCGAAACAAAACGAATTTCTTTCTTTTCTTTATAATTGTGATTTAGTTGATAGTGATTTTATCAAGACACTGTACAAATATTTAGATATAATTAAAATGAAACATCGTAATGAGAACATCATAAAACAAATCCGAAAATTATTACAAAATAATTCTCATACAAAGTATCTTTTTGCTGTTGGCTCAGGTAATTCATCTTCATTTCTCATAGACAAACTCGACTTTCGAAATCTTTAGCTCATCTCTTTGGAAATATCAGCATTCTTCATATGTTACAAGAACAGTATCCCAATGAATATCATATCCAACGAATAAATGTGACAAGTCCATATTTTACGCATCAGTATGAATGAATTCGTTCTTTCTTATGAAAATCTTATCGATTCTTTTGATAGAAATTGTTCAGATAATGAATTTCAACGATTAACCAATAAAATGAATCTACGTGCAAACCAGACGTTTGACAAAAGATTCATCGACAATGAACATTTATATCAATTAGCTGCATCATTTTTCAGTTAAAATCTTTTCTTTTTCAAATAAATCATTCAGTGATCGACCCTTGAGATTAATTCTTCGACTTAACAAAAGATCAGATCTTCTTCATCTCTTTTTCAATACCAATGACAATGAACAATTAACTTCTACATATCCGTCTTTTTTTCTCGTATTAGTATTAGAAAATGATCAATAGTTTCTCTCGTCGTGATTTCGTCACCGATAGAAATCATTTCGTTGAAATAGAACAAAAGAAGAAGATTAGTAGTCTTCTCTTCTATCTTTCGTCGCATATCGTTTGTTTTCAAATGTCGATGTAATAGAGAGAGAGAGAGAGAGAGAGGGAGAGAGAGAACGTGTACACAGATGTGTGAGAACATGTAGAAATGAATGTGGGTGAAGATGAATTACATATTCTTGGTCTTTTCTCTCGTCATTATGAAAGGAATTTCGCATTGAACATATACATTCAAATCTTAACACATCTCATTCATTAAATAATGGTTAGTTAGTTAAAAGCGATATATATCACAATGAGATGAAGATTAATCATGATTCGATTTCAATTAGTAGTAATATTCTTAACAATACCAACTGGTCTGTTTGATCTATTCAATCGAATTTCATTTGGAGCTCATGCTCGATGTAAGTCGTAATGAAATTCATTTTAGACAAGTAAAGATTACAATTGTTTTTTCAGTTTTCGAATATGAACTACCAAATCGAACGATCACAATATGTCCAAGTTATTCCTTAATAGCACTTGAATGTCCACAAATTCCGTCTCTATTAGATCAACATTCATGGCGACCGGCCACTCCGAAATATTTGATCTCAATTGATTATATTCGTTCTTTTCCATTACGACTTGGTTTTGATTCTCGATCATGTCAACCAGATCTAGCTCACGCTTGTAATAACTATGATCTACGTTATATCAATACATTATGTAATGGAAAACCTCAATGTTCGGACATCTCTGCTTATCAAATACGTGAACGAAGTTTATGTGCTTTTAAAGCTGTAACAGAAATTGGCTTTCATTGTGTTCCCACATGGAATTTACCTGAAATTCAAACGAAATATGACATATGCCAAAATACTTCTTTGACCAGTGATTATGGTTTTATTTATTCACGAAATTATCCACTGAAAACAACTCGTATGTCCTGTTTTACGACGATTTATGCTCGTCCGAATCATAAAATAGTTCTCTATTTTGTCGATGGAGAATTAAATCACGATCAATTGAGAATTGAAAGTGTTACAGCGAATGGAATGTCGATATTAAATGTGAGTTTAAATGGAAATTTATCAACACAAAGATTAGCAGCATCGATTTATCAAATGAAAATAACATTTCTTCCGAGTCAAATTTATTCTTATCATCCAACATATTATTTACTTTACTTTTATATGATACCGATTTGTTCGATTACTGAACCTTGTTTACCTTCTCCACCTTCGATTTTAACAACACAACCTATCTATCCGATTAGACCGACGAGTCGGACGAGAATTCAATCTGTTGGATGGACAAAAATACCAAGTAAAAAAGCAAACTTTGTTTTTTGTTTTGATAAAAATCCTTTTTTTCGAATTCATAGACATATGGATCGTTATTCCAGTAATACTTGCCTATATTTTACTTTTACTTCTTATTATTGTTCTCGCACTCTTATTACAGTAAGTCCAATCTTAATTGTGAAGAGCTTCCTATTAATTTTATCTTTAAGACGACGTCGTAAACAACAAAAACCACCTATCCCTTCACGATATTTAAACGCAAGTGGCACATCAAGTCGAGCTCATCTAGTAACTCCATTACCACCAGCACCACCGAATCCAGGTATTAACTATGATACTCGTTCATCTCGTCGTCGTCAGACAAGTGTCTCTCAAAGTGTCCATCAACCCTTTCCCGCATCTTCATTTATCCAAAGTTCCGATCATTATTATCGTTCAAGTCGAAGCGATTTTGATCTTCATCAAAACAATCCCAATGGTATTGATTATCGTTTTCACACATCGATACCTTCCCGTACTCGTCCTCGTACATTGAATGATACCTATCGTGGTTATGATACAGTTGATCGTGAATCATACAATCTCGATCGGACCAATTATCGTCGTTCAATTCCTAAATCATTTTCTGATTGTGATTTATGCAAACGACGTGTTATCGATGAAGAATATCTCAATAAATATGATGATAATTGGCGCTTAGAAAACAGTTCCGAACGTCCCAATGAGCCTCGAACGTACCGAGACAAGATCAAAGAACGTGTTCGTGAACGATTAACCATTCGACAACTTCCCGACAATGACACTCTTCCACCATCGTCAACCACAGTTGAATATTCTACAGTTTTACCACGTCATCAACGAATTGCAAGTGAATCAAACCAATCTGTTCGACATTTACCATTCGAATATATTCCAAACGAAAAGTCGACTTCCGAACGTTTAACAACAACAAACAATCCTCATCTAACTGAAACTGGATCAACCATTTATACAACGAAGTTTTACGATCAGGATAATCTCGAACGACGCTTTGAAGATTCACGAGAAATTCAAGAAATGTCGATGAGAGTGAATGAACAACAAAACTACAACCAATATCCATATCATCATCAACAACAAAGATATTTTAATGAGAATACAAGTGAAATTTGATTTGAACTGTGTTTTTTTTTCTTCATGGTCGATGTAAATGTCTTTGCGTCTTTTTAAATGTAATTCTTAGACACACATCCTTGAATTTCAATCTATAACGTGACATACGAAATCGTTTGACACTTCCCAAATCGAATAATCCCTTTCATCTGATTTACAAATCTTTGTTCTTTCAAAAGATTTTTCTTCTATTCAATGATTTTAAAAAAGCAAAAAAACAGACCGAAAACTAACTCATCAACATAGTTATTAAACAAGACGATGTGTTCTCCCTAATCTAAGTAAATATCTTGTTAAATGTCAATTTTAACATAAGAAGATTGAAGCAAAACTCATGTTCATACTTATTATAAATCTTCTGTTCGAAATAGTTTCTTTTATTCTGAGTATTACTCGTTCAAAACGAAGCAAAATATGAGTTTTACAAACATGTCAAATTTTATTAGTATTGAAAGGTCACTTAGTCGCAGATTATGAGATCAAAATCATTTCAGTTGTATTTCCAGGCAAAACTAATATTCGTATTCGAGGCATTTACGTCAGAATTCATTTTCCAACAAGTAATTAGAAAATGATGTGTACAAACATCTGACGAAATTTGATAACAGCGTGAGCTTTTGTTTGATCCTACGAAATAAGTGACATTCCTCTTTTACTCCAGATAATGAAATGTGAAAGACAAATGATACATTGTTTAACTTTACTCTAGAGTGATGTCATAATATCATTACCGCGGGTATCCGTTTAAAAATCGACAACAGTATACTCAGAAACCGGAGGAATTTGATTGAATTTGGTCGATACCCAACGGGTAACGAGATGGATACCCATGGTTGTATCCGTAGAAGCTGAGGAATTTGATCGAGTTTGGCCGATACCCAACGGGTAACGAGATGGATACCCATNGTTAATTAACTACCATTATCAAGTGTTTGAACGATGTAGTTTAATTTGTTGTTGTTTATCGAGATCGTCCGACCAAATTCACTCAAATTCCTCACGTTCCGGAGGATACAGTTTGGATATCGGGTATCGAGATTGTCCGACCAAATTCACTCAAATTCCTCACATCTGGGGTGACATAGTTTGGTTATCGGGTAACGGGTATCGGGTATCGGGTAATGGGTAACGAGATCGGCTGACGAAGTTAGTTTAGTTATCCTACTGGATATCGAGACGTTCAGCTCTGGATACCCGGGGTAATGATATTGTGACAGCTATGTTACTCTAAGCACAATTTCTCATAGACATGCTCATTATTCCGTTTATGGACATCATCTGTATTGATAAACAAAATATTCGAAAGTGAAGAGAAAAAAAAGGCGGACTTTTCATGTACTCATAATTTGAATTTGAGTTGTAGTATAAGAAGGATAACTCAAAAGCGAGTGCTTCTTTGTTAGTTTTTATTCGTATTGTGTCTGAATTTCACAATATGAAATTTGGATGGGAGAATTGATTACATCATTAATTTTCTTCTTAGTTTTTTAGGACAGAGTGTAGTGAAATAGAAATATCTCTTATTTTAATTTGAATTATTGTTTTTCAACAAGTAAATATGAACTCGCTTCTTCAAATCTTGTTTTCAATGGATCACGTCCGATAAGGTCAGACTTACTTTCACTAAGCTGACAAAAACGTTCTTATCTATCATCAAGCAAAAGGAATAAATTTGATATATTTTTCGAATATATAAGAAAAGTTTTAGAAAGATCAAATAAATATATTCTTATTACCATCGAACTGAACTATGAGTGAATCTTCGGTTCATATTAGTCGACTAATTATATTCTATATTTATGTTGTTCTACTTGTTCCATCATGTCTCTGCTGTCTTTTGATTTTCTACAATTTCTTTCGAATGTCTCAATTACGAAAACAACCAGCAAATCAAACGATTTTTCTATTATTAATCATCTTGTTCATTGAAGTATATCAAATATCCATTTGATTTCTCTTGAAAACATCTGTTCGTTTTCTAATTTAGATTTTAATCGATCTGCCAATTCGTCTTTCTTATTTATACGAAAATCAAGTTCTTATTCAAACGGGTGGCTTTTGTATGTTTTGGAATTGGATTGCTTCAGTATTGAACATCATTGGATTACATTTAATGGCATTTGCTTCAATTGAACGACATTTTTTCATTTTCAACAGTCAATTCCACGCACGACATCGATTTTTACTATCGATTATTCCGATGATTGTCAGTGTTATTTATCCATTAGCATTTTATACAGGAACTGTTTTTGGTTCATGGTGATGTGCGAAGACTTATGATTATTCGGTATTGGCTTGTGGTGCGCCTTGTTATTTAATCACATCAGCGTTTTTCCCACTTTTCGGCATTATAACTCATCATGTTCTACCAGTATTTATCGTTCTTTTCGCTAATTTCATCCTTGTTATCCGTGTTTGGCATCAGAAAACTCAAATACGTCAAGTCAATATTTGGCGAAAGGCTATCCGTATGAGTCTTCAGTGACTATCTATTGCGCTTACATATATAAATGTTTGGCTTCCTCAATGTGTTCTCTTTATAATGCTCGCATTAGGAAGTGGAGAAGTTTCGACGATAGCAGGGTGGTTAATTTATGAGTTTACGGGTAATCTCACTTCGTTGACTGCGGTATTTTGTCTATTTGTGATGTTAGCCGGTCTTCCTAAGTTATATCACAAGATAAAACGAGATTTCGGAAAGGTGTTTGTTCGACAAAATATAGTAGTTCCAAGTCATTTGGGATTAGCTAATGCTGGTCGACAAATGAGAACAGCAAGAGCAAATAACTGAACATCGTCAATGGTTTTATTTGTTGTAATCTTGCAAATATCAATATCTTTTATGTTGAACCATTTATATAATATTCATTGAGTGTTATTTCGTTTTGCTTTCGATGTTGTGCACATAAATCTGTAATAAATATACGAGGCTTTCCGTACGATAGCAACACTTTTCTTTGTTTCGATGTGAATCTTTTCTGATACAACATCATATTGTTCAGTTGAGGGAAGAAACCAAAAAGCAATTATTATCTCTCAATACCGCAAATATGTAGAAGGACGTATTACTGAAATATAGAATATCATCGTAACTACCTGTCGAATCACTATCCTTTTGTTCAACATGAAGATTTATTTTTATATAATATTTAAGGTAAAAATTATTGCAGTAATATAAAAGAAATCGAAGATTAGTCGACATGTATCAACTGTTTATTGTCTTTCGAAAGCCGAGCAGTTTTCGCGTTCATATTTGCTCCCAAATTCATGCGTTTCAAATCGAATCGAATGATGTTTGTTCATAAAACGATGCTACTAGATCTTGTGTACCATCATCAAAAATATTCATTCGGAATGAAGAATTGTTCTTCATCAGTGTGCATGTTTAAACATATTTTCATTGTGTATTCCAAAGGAGCGAGAAAAGCTGATGTGTATGTGTCTTCTCAGTGAACATTTTCTGTACGATCTACTATTAACTTCATCGAAAAAGACATGAATATTATATAGTGGAATGTGTCTAAGACGATTTCTCATATTTATTTCGGATTTTTTTTACCTGGAGAATCATTGTTTCTTCTTCGTCATATTAAATGATTAACTTATCCATCAAGGGTAGTTCATAAAATAAAAAAATGCACAAAACCTTCATGAAATGTTTTTATTTGACTATGTTTTTCTCAAATATTGACATCCAAGACATTCACCTGTTGCCAAATAACAACTACGTATTTATCAGTATATATCACGCATTTCCTTCATTCATCACTGACGTTGTCTATATTTACTTTTGTGATTCTCGCATTTTCTAGATAAAGTTCTTCAGACACACATATATATATATATATGATAAAATATTAGAAGATTTGCTAACAGCTCAGAGATGAAACTCGTTGTTGCTCTTGCTCTAAGCTTATTAGTAAGTGCAGAATTATTCACTCACTGTTGAAAATGATAGACTTATTGCGAATCTTTAGATTTGTTACATTCATGTGACATCAAGTGAACCATCTGGAACGAAAAAGCAAGTGCCGAAAAAAGATTCGAAGTCAAAGCCTGTCAATGGTCCAACTAGTCATTCGAAGCCGAAGGAGAAACACAATGCACATGCAAAACACCCTACAAGTGAAGATGGAAAAAAAGTGAAGAGAACTCCTCAAAGTAAATAATCTTTTACTTCTTTTGTTATTCTTAAAGATTCCCTTTAGTACGCACACCGTTCGATAAAGTTTTGGATAAATTAACAAAATGTGCCGCATCATCACCTTCACTAGTTGAAGTTATGGAAAGCAATCTGAAAGATATTCAAAACGATGAAAAATACCAAACATTGTTCAAAGCTGCTCCACATACGGCTGCTTATCTGAAAAAGAACAAAAATCATCCGGAGAAGTTCATTCCTGGATTACAACAAGCCCTGTCTGCTGATTGGTCAAGTCCAGCATGGAAATCAGCAGATGAAATTGAAACACTCTTTCGTCCATTGAAACAACAATTTGTTTACGCAATGATGCGATTCAACTGCACAGCGTGATCTATAAATATATCAGTAGATGAGACAGAGATTTTTATTTCATACTTCAAATAAACTCTTATTCAACGCTTTCACTTTCTCTTTAAAGAAGAAAGGATGAAGTCTTAGATAAATGAGAAAAAGATAGACGATGCTTCTTTTTTATAAAGGCAAATAACCTGGCTTAGCGAAATCAATTTGATTAAATATTATAAAAAAAAGTGTTACAACTGATAAATGAAAGAGAATAAACGCAAGTGGTATAATTGGATACACATCCTGTACAAACGATTTTGACAAAAAGTTTGTTAAATAAATTCTAAATTTAAATTTTCTAAACTATTTTTTCCCATCTGTATTGAAAATTGCTTTTGAGATCCTTGCTCGGCATTTTTGCATTCGAGATTGTGTCAGTAATTCGTCGCTGTTATTGTTATTTTGTGAGATATTCATGGACTTTGATCAATGACATCAAATCACACTAATCCGCGTATTGAAAACGAAGAGTTGTTCTTGTGTGCTTTGAGATGAAGATGAAAACATCTCATGTGGATTATTTGAGACTGATGAAGCCAGAAGATTTACCTAAAACGAATTCGGCTCATTGTTTAGAGATATCATAACACTTATTATCAATGTTTGATGATCCAAATTTCTAGTGAATGTGCTAGTATGTGCTTTTGAAAACACATTAAATTAGAATAAAATTTCGACCATTCTTGTTTCTTGTTTTTGTATTACATTTTATTCAATTATTCTTGATATTTATTGATGAAATTGAAATAATAGAAGAAAGTAAAACCACATGGCTACTTAAACTATACATTGCTTATCAGATTGCGTGCAATATCTATCGAAAAACAACTCGATTGCAGTATAAATCAGAGCCAATAAAATACCATCTTTCCTTGTTAATGTGTTCAACAAAACACAAAGAAGCTTTGTTTGCGTGTGTATAACAGTATACGGCTGAAGTAGATCGGTCCCTAAAGATAGAACTGAATAAACATTTGCATTATTTTAATCCTCAGTTATTGTCGTCCATAATGTCACCAACACCTTCATGTGCATCATGTCTATCACTAGTAGATCGAGCCAGTTATTCGATTACAATCACAGGTATCTTGGTTGTATATTACACTAAGGCAATACCTATTGTTTTCTTTTTTATTTTCTACAGATTTCTATCGATCATGTGAGAAAAATTAGCTTTCGCATGAATACAAATTGTCGACCACAGCCAAAATTAAAAATAATACATTATCGATGGTTTTTTCAAAAGGCCAAGTGAAAAATAATGTAATGCAAAGCCCACTTCTATTCTTGTTTATTTACTATTCAGATGATTTTTGTATTTTAGTCTTCTTCTCAAACGTCGCCAACAGACAATGAGAATTTGGAATTGAAGATTCGAGCGATAAACGAAACGAACATGTCATTGACAAAGGCCAACAACAATTTAACTGAAGATATGGAGAAAATTAAAAAGGCGATTCTTTTATTGTCCAAAGCCAATGACAATTTAACCACGGACATGAAAAAAGTTAATGAAGCGAACGCATTATTGGTGGATCGCTTTAACGATTTGGAAAAACGATGCAATCAGCTAAGCTTACATCTAATTTTGTCGGATATGTTTACTTATCTGATTAACCTGTTAAGTTTATCATCATATGGTATACGAACTTCTGGCATATCCGTTAACAAATTACGTGAATGTTTAGAAAGTTCAGTTCCAAACTTGGGAACAATTGATGACATCGACATATCTTATCGACAGATGTATGTTGGAAATACATCATTGACTTATTGCGTCGATTGTATCATTTAAAAGCATCTCAAACGGTAGAAGAGCCAAGTGATTATGAACTTATATCTCTCATGATTCTTTACAAAATACCAAACAATAAGGAAACCATCCTGGCATCGGCTTCATCTTAGTTTACATCGAATTAAAGATGATCTCGCTCGTGTATCTTTCAATTTGAATTTAATTGATCATGGACATTCAGCTCAACATTTCAAATACGTCTTGGTCAAAATATCTGATATAATGAAATTGATATTTGAACAAGTCGTTAATGAATATAAAGAACGAAAAGAAATCTTAACACACAATGATCTCATGGAGGATTTGGTGCAGATATTGAAGACAACGTCTTTGAATTCATCCACTCAATCATCGGACGATAATAGCATTGAATTCAAATAACTATATGTATTTATTTGTTGTAAAATAAATTTCATGTGGAACAAGTTCTATTTTTCGTTTTTCTCAATTTGATGGAATGATAAATGAATGGAAGATTTGTTATAGCTGCATAACTGAAAGAAATCGAAAAGTATATTTTTGATTATTCGATCGAAGAATGACTGAGAAAGAAAAGAGTCGAGGATCTAGATGGAATGAAAGCGAGAAGACAATGCAGACTCATATATAGATATTTTTTGGGAAAAGAAGAAAAGTAGTTCGATCAAATTCATTTCTAGATTACGACAAGTTCTTACGAAATAATTTATTTTCAATAGATAAAAAGGATTCTATATTTCATAACATGATTAAAATAAATTCTTATTGAACAATTTCACTTTTTCTTTGAAACACATTTCCTATGCTGCTCAATGCGTTTGTTCATATTCTCTGCATTAGTTAGATAGTTTTCTGATCATGCCTTTGCTATTTCCCTTAACATATCAATCTTCCCTTTTAAAATCACAATTTCATTTACATATTTTTCATAAAGATCACGTTGTTGTTTTGATACTTTACTCATAATTATTATTATTGCCAATCGATCATTCGTTGTTCAAAATTTTCGAAGTTTCTAAATCTTTCACAATTAATCAAAATTTCGCATGTACACATTGTAAATTAAGATCAAAAATTTGTTTATCATCGTTTTGAAGCCGAAGTCGATTTTCTGCGGAAATCAATGAGTTTTTAAAATTTATTTCTTTAAAAGCTGGCACCGCCGTCTTGCGCCACAATGAAGATCGTTGCCCTACCCATGTTCATACCAGTTTCTCAATTTAGAAGAAAATAAAATGCAAAAATTTTGAAATTTCTCTGAAGTTGGGTACATCATACATGAATATGAGATAGCATAGAGCAGTTATACGAAGATATTGGTATTTTTGCAATAATTCAAGAATAGTTCCTCTAATCAAGCTCATCTTCGAGTTCCAGTGAGACATTTATCTGACATTATTCTGTAGAAGATTTCATCTTAATCAGAGTACCCTTGTACGAGATATCATGTAAGCCAGCGGATGGACGGACGCACGGATTTATCCTAGATGTGCCGTAGGCTTTTGAGCACGTTAAAGAGAGTAAGAAGTTTCATATATATTCTCAATAACCTGTTGTTAATACCTTGACGTTATTTAATTGAAGTCCATAGGTAAAATTAGTTGTATTTTTCAACTGTTTCCTACATATCTAGAATGGCTTTGTTAGCGGTAGCGGACACAAAGGTGATTTGGATGAATTTTCCTTAGATACTCATTACACTGTTCCTAACTACGGTGTGATTTGTTTTTCTAGACCGAAGCAATGACGCCTGAATGTCTGCTAACGTAATCTACCGCAGAACTACTTGAGTGAAATTTTATCCGTGCCACCCTTCACCCTCACCCACCCTCAGATTCTAGAGATTTACTTATCTTTCGATTACACAACAACATGTTAACGAGTGTCACGATAGGTGTTTATTGACATAAAATGATAAAGTAATGTTTATCTTTTACTCATTCTGGGAAGCAGTGTGAAGTGGTCGGAAAAAGGGAAAAATGAGATTAGCTAAACGGTTTCCAATTTAGATTGCGTTCGTGTCTACAGATCACACATATATATACCATACCGTACTGACTGCGTTAGCTATTCAGTAACTGACAGCGAAAAGTACTTAACAATATTCTTCTCGTCATGGAAGGAGCCTCAAGTACAAGATTTGTCAGAAGTGATCTTAATGATTTGGCATCATCTGATGAAAATGACAGCATTTTACACAACGGTATGTTAAATGATAAGTAAATTTTATATCAACACATGCATGAGAACTATTGTAGATGATGGTCTTCGCAAAACTTGGGAAAAGTCATTGATTGACCCGGCTATATTCAAAGCGTATCAAAATCTTCGAAACATTGTGGTTGAACGCGGTCTCGAAAAGGAATTAATTGTTCCACGAATTGTGTTTGTTGGTGACACATCAGCAGGAAAATCCATGTTGGTGCAGATGTTTCTTCAATTTCCATCAGTTTTTTCTCAAGCTAACGTTGGTACTCGATGTCCTGTCCAATACGTATTACGATATGATCCAACTTTAGCTGATGACGATGTTCACATTATTCGACCAAGAGGCTGGCGGCCCCAAGATCTTGGTAGAAACCTACAGCAAGAAATGATCCGCATTGAAAATGATCACAAAAGCGAAGGTGGCTTCCGCATTCTGCCATTTGTTGTGGAAATTGCTAGCAAGCATTATACCGACATCGAGATACTTGATCTGCCTGGTTTAATTAGTGGTGATCGAGATAAAAACAAACGAGCAGCTGTTGAACGTATCACGGAATATTACGTTCGTGATCCAAGTTTCATGATTGTTCAATTGAAAGAAGCTCAACAACTGGTTGATAATACGTATGGAATGCTACGAATTGATGAATTATGTACTGCTGAGCCTGCTCTTTGGGGTTCAAAGCTTCCTGCTCGAAAGAATTACGCACAACACATGATTACAATCCAAACCAAATTTGATGCATTCATGCTCAATCATGACAATGGATCAGCAACAAACGAAGATATTCGCACGCGAATCCATGCTTTCCCCAATAGTTATTTCACGAACATGGTTTTTGATTTGTAAGTGTCCCATCAAGAATATTGCGCGTGATAGAACATCTTTTTACTTCCTAATGTATGCAAAATTCGTTGTCTTCTTTGTTTTGTAAAAAAGGTACAATTTTGCTGATCATTCATATGATGAAAATGTTCGGTACATTGCGGAAGTACCTGAAAGAGAAAAGGAAGCTGTTGACAATTGGATTGATCGTATCAACACGAGAGCAAACTCTAATGAATCTCTATATCAATTGTTCAATCAAGAATATCGTTCTTTGATCGGCATCGACGTTGTTCGAAAAAAAATTCAAGATCTATGGTCACAGGTTCGTATACTCTCTACCTGCTAATGTTTTTTGGAAATTGTTCGAATAATTGAAATTTCTTTCGTTGTATTCAGGCATTTCGTAATGCTATTCCGGAGTTATTGCAAACAGTTGACCGACTGATTCAACAGTCGAATCTGAAACACAAAAAAGCCTTGTCTAATTTAAAACAACAGGATCCGAAAGCTGTACGAGGCGTTTATTTAAACTATATTGAAGAGTTTCGAAAAACAATCAGTAACTACGCAGCCTACCGTGCTGAAGTCAATAATATGTTTCCATTGAATGAGTACGGTCGAACTTATGAAGAAATCGAAATGGAATACAATGAATGGAATCGTAAGCAACCTTTAACTTGGCGAGCTTATCTATCGTCCGAACAATTGAAACAAATTCCGGGTAAAAAAGAATTGGAAGCACTTAACTCACGCTATGTGGGCGCTTACCATTTTGGACGCTTGCAAGAGGTAAGATGGAAACAGTAGTCCAGAGGACACTATACCATTCATTCAGAAAAGCCTTTTTCAGTCGATCCGTCACTTACTTTCTTATAGTTAGTGTCAGCACTGATCTAGAAATAGTTCCCGAAAATGCGTCTTTTTGTTCTCGTTGTTGAGCAGGTGCATAGAAGCATAGTATTCTTATCATTGGGTATTGAAATGGTTTGTATTCTCATAGTCCTTTTCTTTTTCGCTACAACATTGTTTAGTGCTTTCGCTTCCGAGAAAAATACCGGTGTTATATTACATGACTTCGTACGGGATGTGTGGTTAGGTTGCATACCAGGAGAATAGTTTTTATTTGAATTCAGTTACAAGTAATTTTTATAACAAGAAGAGCAACAAAAGGCTTTCCCATCTATATATTTGCAAGCAGGTTGAGATCGATAGGTTAAGCAATCGAGACCATGCGGTAAAGTGTTTATGGTGTTCTTCTATTAAATTATAGGTGTTTTCATATATGGTTCGATCACATGGTACTTTGGATCGTGAGTCTGATTGGTTTGAATCATCTCAGTCGTTACTGTATGGTGTAATCAGTGATAACAAAAATACGGAAAAAGCTATACGTGAATCAATTTTTACTCTAATTCGCGAAACTTTTCTTATTGGAGTCTGTTGGCTAACACAGATGTATGCATTTCTGACGGACCATTTTTCCAGTCATGTCAAATCAGCGTTACTAGACAGGAAATTTCCAGATCTACAGGATCACGTCAAATTCTTAAGTTTAGTCGATCTCGAATATCACGGAGTAACACGAACATTTATTCGAAACGCTGTAACAGCAATCAGACAAGAGCGATATCTTCGAATGGTTTATGTTACTTATGATCTTTGTGAAACATTGAAAAAGCTTGTCAAGTCATTTTCATCCATGGCCAACACCATCGAAAACAATCACGACAATGATAATGCTGATGATGATCAAGACAATGAAAGATTGGGAGAACAGATTCTGAATTCTGCGAAGGACGCAGTGTCAAAAATAGTGACTGGCACCAATCCAGGTATGGCTATTGCTACTTCAGTCGCGTCACATTTATGTGCAGATAAAACTTCAAAGACAAACGGCTATGTACAACCACGTGATAAGGTTGCTCATTTATATTTAACAATACGTGAGCTATTGCTCGAGAATATCAACAAATTTTTATGCTAATCTTGTTCAAGAAATTCAAGGATACAAATCCAAATCTATTGAAAATTCTTTGCAAAATCGTTTACAACATATGTCTGACAGAAATGTCGCTCGCATGGCAAATATTAATATCAAACGTAGTCGCCAAGAAGTCTTTGATGCTCGAGAAGAGGTCGATCAACTGGAAGAAACGCGTGACAGCATAGAAAACGTGAAATCTCTGCTCGACAATGAATATATGAACGGCAAACGATTGAATGCGAATAGTGATAAGAATAGACGCATTCGAGTAGTCGTTGCAAATAAACGCGATAGAGAATTGCACGATATTGAGAAAAAATTAAAGATACAGGAACGCCACAAGAGAAAAACCAAGCAAAACACGCAGCATCAAGTCGATGATCAAGTGTCAACATTCGATACAATCGAGAATGACAAAGAATTTTCCATCGAGTCTGATTTGGATGAAGATAGTATGAGTGAAAATGAAGATGAACATGAACTGATGCAATATGATGACAAAACGTCGAGTGAAACATACTTGCTGGGCATTTTCCGAGCACATGATGAAGAAGATCTTCGACTTGGCTTTCTCGAAGGTGACTCGTTAGATGCCGATGTGGAATTTGTCCAACAACGTCAGCAGCAACAAGAGAATGAACGATCATCTGTAGCGTCTAATATTAAAATGAATATCCAGACAACGAATCAGATTTCAGAAGAACACATCACACCTTCTCTTCCGCCATCCAGCTCAGTGTCTTCAGAGCACGCTGTTGTCTCCACTACTGTTGCAGCCAATGATAACGAAGCTCCTACAGAAGTAACAACAAGCCAGGTTGTCACGGAGGGTACGTTGATTCACACTGGTAGTGTTTTAAGTGAGCTTGATAGTGCGATTTAGAGCGAATAGTTAAATCGAGATCAGTTTCATTAGAACTAGTATTACTTAGTTCACGCTTATCGTGGCACAATAGTTTTTATTACGACAAACTGAAATTGTATTAGTTGAAATGGCAAATATTTTGGATTATGATAAAGATACGTTTGCTTTTCATAGATATTGCACAGAACCTCTAAATTTGATTTCTCCTGTAATTAATTTCTTTCTATTTCTTTGCAGAGGTTTGATTGAACTACCAAAAAGCAAACACCCTGGTCACCACATTTGCATTATAATTCGACACCACCACTCTGAACGCATGTAATCTCGAAAAATATGATATTATATTCAGAATTTTGTTTTATATAAACTCGAAAAGAAAACTCTATTAAATAAAATTATTTCACAGTAACAAAAATTGCATGAAGCAAACTTCATTTACCGTGAACTTAAATCGATTCTAAATGCATAGTTGACGATTTTTCAATATAAAATGTGATAACTAATTGTATAAGAACTCAGTGAGATGAGTTGCGATTTAATAGGTAAATCGTGTTAAGAAGTTTTGATATTCCTTAGGTGAGGATACGAGTGGAGGAAAAACACGTAAATCCACTACTTTTCGACTTTTCTTATTAAGAATTTGTGACTGGAAGCTGCTCCAATGGTTTACCAATCTTTTCCATTACTACTCTTTTTTCGAACAGTGAGATATGTTATTAATGATGAGAACAAAAGCCCATTACGTCACAATTATCGTCCTTGATAAATTTTTAGGTAAGAGTGCAAATAAAATAGTTCATTAGGATCAATAGTTGATTTGCACCTGTGATATATATATATACTTAAAATTTATATCAATAAATTTGATCGACAAACTCTATGTTAATTCGTGTTATATTTTGTCGGTAAAACTACAACTTAGCTCATACTTTTAGTCATAAGCTAAATCAAATCGTTGTACTCGATGATTTCTCCAATCCACAACATAAAGATTTCCTTCAGCATCAAATGATAAACCAGTAGGACTATACAACTCATTCGATTCTTCGCCTTGTCTATTTCTACCAACAACTATTTCACCTTCTTGTTTTCCTTCACACCAACGCATTATTCTGTGGTTATAACAATCCGCAGCATAAATTTGACCAAACTGATCAACAATCAGCCCCTGAGGAGAAATCAACTGACTAAGAAAACTTCCTCCGCCGTTTCCCCCAGCAACAACAGTTCCCTCCTTGGCATCTTTTCTCCATTTCATCACACGATGATTTCCCCAATCAGAAATATAAACAGATTGTTCATCATCAACAAAGATAAACGTCGGAGAATTGAGTTGGTTAAATTTAAATCCTTTTCCATTTCCGCCAGCCACTAATTTTCCATTGCCCTTTTCTCGAATTATCCATCTTCTCACTTCATTCTTCTCCCGATCACTAACATACAGAAATCCATATTTGTCCGTTGTTAAACCATAACACGAGATATTCTGAATGAGGATCTGCTGCTGATTTTGATTCCACCATTGAATCACTCGATTATTTCCTTTATCAGCGAATTATCACTTTCGTCGACTGTGACATCAGTCGGATGATTTAACTGATCGATTTTGTTCCCTTTTGCATTTCCACCTGCAACGACTTCGACGTACTTTTCATCCGATGTCCATTTCATAATCCGCTGATTTCCTGTATCGACAATAAATATATTATTATCTTTATCGATAAACATTCCACCGGGATCTGAAAGTTGATTTATTCGTTTTCCATTTCCATATCCTCCAACAATCGTCAAACCATTTTGTTTCCATTTGCTGAGATGTGATTCTAAAAGATGAAAACCAAAAAACAACGTGAATGTCAGCCATTGTCTTCATTTGAGTATTTATCTTCAACATACTTTTTGTTGATTTAATTGAAATTTTCTTGATGAACGTTTGTGTATGTTCTTCTTCTTCTTCGAGAGAGAGATCGTTGATGGATCGTAGAATTCTTTTGTAATCTTAATTAGTTTCTCTTTTAAATCTTTTAGATTGTTTTCATTAACTTCATTTTCTTCTTGAAGATATTTGATTTCTCCAATTAACTTTTTGAATTTCTCTTCAATATCGTCAATGAACACTTGAATTTCCTCGATGACTGTTTGTCGACATCGCTGAGCAGTTCGTTGAATTAATTCGATTGAATCTGTTTCCCATTGATTGATTCCCTTTACGAAGGGAGAATCGTGTGGATTTTGTTTTAGTTGATGAATACTTTCTCTAAATTGATCGTAATCATTGATAATCGTATTGAATTCTTCGTTTAGCTTTTGTCGATGTCGCACTAAATCCTCAAAACAGAATTGATTTGAACAACCCGGACACGGATATGTTATTTTATATTTATTACAAAGACAACATTGAGTTTTGTCGATCGCGGTTGCCATTCTGCTCTCGAATGTTCGCAAAAAAGGTCTAAGTTGACAGAGATAAAAAGATAACTCTTCGGTCAAAGCCAACAAAAATAACGAGACGCAATGAAAAGACACTCGATAAATACTAAACTTTCAATATTGAACATATCTCGAGAATGAGAGTGAAGATATCATTTCGTTGGCACCTTCCCATCGACATACTCTTCGTTTTTCCAGAATTCTTTTTCAATTCTAATTGTCGTTTTGTTACCATAGACATCTGCAACTAAAATCTGTATGGTCGGTTAAATCAACCGATGAAAACCTTTCGAAAGCTTGTTTTCTTTCTCTACTTCCGTCCTATTCTCGACAACAAAAGTAAAAAACGATGAGTGGTGATATCCAATTTGTTCGTGAAGAGTTGCGCCAATTAAAAACCTCCCTTGACGAGGACAAGTCAACATTTGTCACTAAATTAAATCAAGTTCGAAACGATGTTTTTCAACATATTGACAAGCAAATTCAAAGATTGAGACTAATCCAAAAAGAGTATGCTGAAAGTTTTCAGTATTTCGAAGACGAAAATCAACGCAGTTTTGATCGACTATGTCTATCGATTAATCAAAATGAAGAAAAAGCGTCTGATCTGTTAAATTCATTCCGAGAATCTTTTCCTCATCGACCTCGCATGTTGAAAAATATTCCTGAATATGACTTCACCAATGTTTCCTTAGACAGTTTTATTAAAGACAAACGAGAAACGAATCATCAAATCATTCCAATTGACGATCAACCTGAGATTCAACAGACCACCAGTTCCATCGGTCAATCATATCACAAACAATTTGCCGAACGGTGAGTTTTGCCTTTGAAAAACGTAATTTGGAATGTCGCATTTGATTTTCTTCAGAAATAATCAAACAAATTCCCAACCGCAATCGCGTTTAGTTTCAACATGTTCCACATTTTCCGGAGCTGATGAAATGATTAATATTCTTTTCCAAATTTCCCATAAATTGGACAAATCACCTCGATTAATTTCTTTCAATTCCGATGAAAATTACTTTTTAATTTATTCTTCTAAAATCCATAAACTTGTACATTTATCAAATCAAACTCGCGAGTTTTTTGACATCGCCCTTCCGTTTACCGCAACAATTCTCAATATTGGCTATTCCAAATTTCGTCATTGCTTCTATTTCACATCTCGCCAAACAAATCATTTCAGTTTATTTCGATGGAACGATCAAAAAATAGAAATTATACAAGAGTTTCCATTAATCAACGAAAAAGAACAGTTTATTAGTGGTCATATCTATGAAAATCTCATTTATTTTGTGTATTCATCGTCATCGGAAGTTATGTTTGCAAAATATGACATGGAAACATCATCTCGTTCTGAACAGATCAGTTTACAAAATTATCTTTATGATTTCGAGGACAAGATCAAATATCGTCTCGTGGATTTCACGGTGAATGATTCGTTCATCAGTTGTTTAGTACAATTAAATTCGACGAATAAATGGAAAATCGCTGTTTATGATATCAAGGATTTCGAAAGAATCCATTCATTCGAATTGATCGATGCAAAAAATCCTTTGTCTATTGTTTCCGCCGAGAAAAGGTAAGAAGAATTCGCGCAAGTTCCTTTCCTTTACTCTCTTTTTTTCTTTGTTAAGAGAGTTGCAATGCGCCGCAACGACAACGACAATGCGAAATGGCAATGCTGAATATTCCTTATTGTTTGTAAATGATCCCAAATCTCATTTGATTCATTGCTGTAACCATTTTCAATATCAGACGCCAATTCAAGTTAATGCATTTGGAATTTGTGCTTTAGATGACGGTAATTTAGCATTGATTGGTAATAAAGACATTCGAGGATTGAATATTCAAAATTATCTTGAACAAAACAACGTTCAATTATTCACCAACGAAGATTAATCGACTTTTTCTTAAGATATTTTTTTACGAATTGTCCATTTGTACGTATAGAAATACATCATAGTCATATATTAAAAACAGTCATTAAAAATGCGTTGAAATATGTTCGTGAACATTCACATGAAGGAAAAGTTGATTACAAATAAAATATCCAATTTATATAACGAAATAATAATGTTCAACACCCTTAAGAGTGAAGACAAGAGTTGAATCTCCAATTGATTACTTCTATTATGTTCAAAAAGAATATCTTCGATCGATAGTGCATAAATCTGTCTTTTAAGTTGACTTATATAAAAAGTCAATGTTCTCATCCAATTCAAATAACTATTATCTATGTTTTTATGAATAAGTGAATAATGTTTCTGACTTTTTGTTATCAAAATCCGTTCTTATTTTGAGTACATTCAAATTTCAAAATAACAATAAGAAATGAACCTACGAATGATAAAATAAAATTATACTTCTTGATTTATTTGTCACAAAAAAAAACTGAAGTTTTATTAAATGTATTAGTTTTTCTTTGAAACACAATTCGCATATTGTTCAATGCGTTTGTTCACATTCTCTACATGAATTTGAAACTTTTCCGATAAAGTTTTAGCTAGTTCACTTGATAAATCAATCTTTTCTTTAAAAATAACAATTCCATTTGTATATTTTCCATAAAGATCACGTTGTTGTTTTGATACTTTGCTCATAATCATTGTTAATGGATCATTTGATATTTTTTCTTTCTCTGTTCGAATTTCTTCAAAATCAATTCCACAAATTCCTTTCACTTCATCTCTTCTTACAAGAATATTCCATGTTCCTGAATCACCAATATTCAATAAATATCGTAAATACATATGTTGTAAACATGCTTGAAGAATTTGTTTGTTTTCATCTTGAAAATTTGATTTCTCTTTTTCTAATTCATTCAATCGATTGATATGTGAACCACGTCGAAGAACTTTGACATTACTTTCAATTTTTGTTGTCATTATTTCATGATCGTTTTCTTCAGTGGATAATTGTCCCAAAGCTTTTTGTTTCAAATAATAATCATTTGTATTCGTAATCTTAACGATCGAATACCAATCAACGATCGATCGGAATTGATCAGGAATTTTTAAATATTCTTCAAGTGTTATCAATGCACGGGTAAAATATAAATTGTAGAAGAATCGTTTTCGATCACCTGGTATACAGGAAGAATATGGACCTTTATAAATGTAATCCGATGAGATGAATACAGCTTTCTTACGAACACTTGTTCGACATTGACCTTGAGCAAGTTTGGATAATTCATCAGTTACAAATGATTCTAATTGTACATCAAGTTGATAACCGAGTCGAATAATTTCCGAGTCAAAATTATCATCAATAGTTTCATTGGTACTATTCATCTAGAATTCCTAATTGTACACAGTATTTAAAGAAAATTTATCGATTTACTTTAGTTAGTTTTCTTGTTGTACTTTCTCCTTCGTCGAAATTCTTTCGTTTTGTTTTCTTTTTCAATTTCGCTTGTTCTTCTTCATCATCAATCATAACTTTAAATTCTTGATACATTTTACGATATTTTTCATTAAATAATTCTTTGCATTCATTAGTCACTTGTGCACCTTCGATAGCAAAATCACTTCTTGATGTTTCAACACCCGTATGTCGATCAAATACAAATGAATCCAATTCAATTACTGTTTTATCATTGAAATGATCTTTATATAATTGATCAACATTAATATCGTCAGGAAAACTTATTTTTTGATCGACTTGTCGAATTGTATCTTCATAAATGATAAATGCCATGGCATGATATAAGTATAGATAATGTTCTTTGTGTTTTAGTGTTTTGTAGAAGAATGCCAAAGCTTTTGTGCTATCGGGAAAAGGTGATTTTTGTATGATATACGGCCATAGTCGTTGATTAATCAAAGCTTGATCGTTTCTTTGAAATAAAACTGAGAGATAAGCAAAAGCAAGTTCAGATTTCTTTTTCAGATGTTCAATAATCAGATCACAAAGTTGTTGTTTCTGAAAAACAGTTGTTTTCAATTCAAAATCATCTATTTACACTTACAGTTTTTCCTTTCGATTGATTTTCATACATCACATCAATTAATTCAGTCATTTCAAATTTTTCCAATAGTTTTCTATGTAAATGTTTGTTTTCTGTCAAATATTCTGGAAGATTATAAATTGTTCGAAGATCACTCAATAATCGAATACGTTGAGTCTTATCATTTGCAACAAAATAATACAATTCAAGAAGAGTTTTTCGACTCGATGGCTCTCGACGTGTTTTAATCCATTGTAAATAGAGTCGATAGATTTGACTTGGTAATCGACTATTACATGGTCCTACATCTTCACTCATCATTGCAACAAGTCGATTAATCATGTTCGAACGCATTCGAAGAGCATTTTGTTGAATTTGTTTTTCTGTTATTTGACATTTTGGATATAAATTAGGTTTAATTTCAATCAAAGAAAACAGATCAAGTTCGATTAAACACCACAGACCTTTAGGAGAAAACATAGCCCGTCGAGCATATTTTTGTATTGCACTTTTTAAAATTCGGGTGTCAATATTGTGAAAACTTCGTTCACGATGAAGAATAATACACATAGAACCAAGTTCTTCGGTTCGTTTTTCAACTTGTTTCGACATCCTTCACAACACAAATAAAGAGAAAATGAGTAAAACACTATGTTATATACAAGTGTGTTACCTATGAGTTGTGAAATATCAGTTTCGTAATTACATCGACATGAGTAGAAGCAAGAAGAAAGCAGAACAGATGCGTGATTTTCCTTTTGCTGTTCGTCCGGGCGTGAGAATGATGAAACGATAAGGTAAGAGAATAGACGAACGATTTTTCGTACTTGAACAGGACTACTGATATCAATATTTTATATTAGTTACTTCGATTTAGCTGAGTTAAGTTATTGAATTAAAGTCAGAGATAGAATGTGCTCTTGTTTAGAAAAAAATTTTGTTTTTCGAATATGTAAACTACATATACTCTCATAAGAAACAAAACAATGACATAAAATCTGAGAAAAACACAAGCCAGTTAGTTTTGACTGTTTCATACTTAGATCTTCTTCATTTTTATTCCATCTGATTTCGTCAAATCTTCTACATCATCCTCGCCATTATTATTGATCATTAAAACTTTTCGTATTGCTTGTAAAGCATTGTTCACTTGTTGTTGACTTCCTTGAACATTCACCATTCGTTTTCGTCGATCACCGTTTTCATCGTTCATATCGCTTATATTGACAATTGCACCAGTTTCTCGTTGTAACTGTTGAATTCGTTCACCTTTAGGTCCTAACAAAGCTCCTGCTTGCATATCTGTAATTGGGAGCGTTTGACGAATTGAAACCGGCATAAGAACACGGTCAAAATGTTGTTGTTGTTGTTGAGAAGATGATGGTGGATTGGCAATCATCAATGATTGACGATGATTTGTAAATTGAGGAGATAACAAAGAATTTAACTTTGCAGAATCAATGTCAGTTGAAGGAATATCTGAATAGCCATAATAGACATGAGTTTTAAATCGATTATGATTGATTGGTATATACGGATGAAATGAAATCGGTACGACTAAAACAAACATATTTATGTGATATCGATGAATTTGTTTGAAATCTTACCTTGTTGACAACAGATTGTATAGATTTCCTCTAAACATAACATCATCTTTGTAGGATTTTTACAACAAATTCGAATGACACGTTCACTTGATTGTGGACAACATTCTTGAGCTGGTTGAAGAATAAAAAGATCATAATCCATACGCATTCGTTGTGCTTGCATTCCTATTGATGGTAAATATGTTTGATCAATTAGAATACGAACTTCTTCATCATTTCCTAACAGTTCACTTAACAAATCAAATGGACAAACAAGAATACATTCTGGTGTTTGACAATCAATTCTCGTAATTAAATCATTATAGAAGAAAACATCTGAGATATATCGATCATGTGGAACAAGTAATCGACATTTTGTATTGGATTTATTAAATGAATGAGAATGTTGTCGTTGAGGATGAGACATTTTTAATAACTGTAAATCACCTTCAAGCTGACTGGCACGATCAAAATCAAATGTAAATTCAGCATTACGTAATGTATTCAAACTAGATTCAATATGTGATAAACAATGATCAGTTGTGTCTTGTTCATTCAGAAGATTAATTATTGTCGAGCGAAAACGATTTAGTTGTTCATAAGCGTTATTTAATTCATTAAGAGATGTTTCATGAGCTGTGTTTAGTTGATCTATCATTTGTAAACGCCATTGACGAAGTATTTGACGACAGGTATCATAACTTGAATCAAGTAGAGATAAAGAATCGAGTTGAGTACGAGCTGTTTGAACACGTGATATAAGAGTTGAACGACGTTTTGCAAGTAGTTCTTCAACTGTTACTCGTTTAAATTCATCCAAAGAAGTCATGTCTAAAACTAACTTAGTAATGTGGATAGATCATTTCAATGATAGATACTTTACAAACATTATTGATTTGATTAAGTATGAACGAATAGAATACGTTTATCGAAATTCTTTTTCTTATCGACATCTATGGTAAATTAGATTTTAAAAGACGAAATGTGATACATTTTGTAATTCCATTAAGAAAGATATTCGATTAATGAAAAGTCCTGTTCAGTTATTTCTTCATTTCCGATTCATATATCCATGAATGTATGAGAATTTTATTGAGCTGATCGTTAACTTGTTTCTCTTATCCATTACAAAACTGCACACAAAAATAAAAACAAAATATAGGCCATATTCAGAGAATAAACATTTTACATTCCCAAAACACACAAAAAAAAATCCGTTCTAATGTCTAGAAAAATATCATACAAATCACAGGTATCTATAAATGTCCAAAACCGATAGCGAAGATTCATATACAAATGTAATATATTCGAACAATGATTTAAAAGTAAAAACAACTGAAAGAAAGACAAAGAAATCAAGTTTCAGCAGAGTTAGTTAGAAGCGTAGCAAACAATATGAACAAATAAATAGATTAAGAAAAGTCACAGGCTGGCAAGAAGAACGAGCAGAAAATTTCGAAAAAGAAAACCGAATGTTTACTCGATTTAGTGAGGACGATATCAACAAAATATTTCTTCATTATCACGCACCGGATTTAATGATTAAACAAGATTTTCTTCTCTTTTCGTACTGTTAGTAGCCTATGAAACAAATCAAAATATAAATTGATTTTTACTCAAAATTGTCAAATTTTACTTGAAAGTCATTATGAATATTTTCGTCCATAGTTAACATTGATGATGAATGTGGAGTACTGGATAACCATTTACCAACTTTTTCAACACAATCATAACTTGACGATCGAGTTAAGAGAGTTGATGTGTTATTAGTTGCTCCTGTTGTTTGTAGTACTTGTGTACCATTTTGAATTGAACGGTATCCTTCGTCGGAAATTTGTCGTTCGATTTGAGTGATTTGGGCTGGTAATGAAGGGAGATGAGGTGAAGATTCTTCAACAGTTGTTAAATGAACTGTCGATGATGGTTGTTGTTCAAGTTTTGAATGGCTATGATGAGAAGATGCAGGAGATGATGATGAAACAATGGTTTTTTTATCATCCGACGACGATGATGAACGTGCTTCAGGAATATTTGTTAAATGTGGAAGAGCAGATGCAAAATCTTTTGAAAAATTCGTTGTTTCAATTAACGACGAAGTTTCAGAAAAACTGTCCAATGCTGAATCTTGAATATCATCTTCTTCATGAATTTCACTATGTTGTTCATCTCGTTGTGATAATTCAGTTAAATATGATTCGACACTTTGTTCCATTAATTGAAGAGCTTTGACAGCTGGTGATAATTCATATTCAAACATTGGCATAAAAGGAAGAGTATCCGAATGACCAGTTGATGCTCGAACTTCATTGTATAAATAAATCATGTGTGATGAATGTTTGATACTGAAATTCTAAAACAAAAGAAAATTCAAATGATAAATACGAAAGTGAATCAATACTTTTTTGTTTTTCTTATTTTTCTTTCCATGAACTCCTTGTTGTTGTTGTTGTTGTTGTTTCTTTTTTCCAATACCAGCGTATTTATCGACAATATCGGCAGGTAGTTCTTTTTTGTATCCAAACGAGTTTTCTGAATGAAATGATGAATGAATAATTTCGTTTGTGGTTGTTGATTGAAGATTTAATGGAATAAAATTTCGTGGTAATTTCATAGCGATGGCAGTTGTCGATTGATTTGTTGTATTATCAGCTGAATCAGTTTCTTCACTCATAAACGATGAAAGAATTGTTTGTTCTTCTGAAAGTGTTAGGGGATGATAAACTGGAGAGGTTAATTCTGTTGTTGGAGAAGAACAAGATGTGTTCGTGATTGATACATTATGTTCAGACATTTTCTCATGGAAATATTTTAATAATAAACGAATTTTTTCTAATTGATCGTGACAACGTTGTTTTTCATATTCAAGCCTAGAGAAAATGAAAGAATAAATGAGATTATCGATTATAGTTGAGTGATTTACGTGTCTCGTTCGAGTGTTGCAAAGAATTGAACAGGTGAGGCGATAGTTTGAAGATGAACAGGTGAGATTTGACGTCGTTGTTTTCTTCCACCAACTGAATTTATAATCTGTTCACGTTCCGAGCGTAAATTTTCGATTTCTAACAAAACAAATTTTGAGATAAAGATGTCAATGAACTTTCTTCGTACTTTGTTCGAGTTCTGGTAATCGTGTAACACTGTCATGTACTAATTGTTTATTTTCTGTTTGTTTACGTGTTTTTATATTTAGACTTTCGACAAATTTCTATAAATTGAACATTTAGATATTCGAAATTTATCTTTTTCTTTTTGCTCACATCTCTTTTATGTTGGTCAGCTTTTTGAATTTGATCAGCTTGTTCGTATTGTTGACGATAATCATCATGTTTTCTAAAATATGATTTCTCAAAACTGATGCGAGAATAAACTTTGAAAAACTTACTGCAATTGAGGTAAATATTCAATAATTAAACTGATTTTTCTTTGTACAAGGTCACGATATGATGCAGTTTTACCTGGTTTTCTCAATTCCTCTTCGTAGCGTCTAAAGAAATGAATTTGTAATAGATTTGACATCAAATGGAGATCTTTTACTGTTTTTCTTGAAGAGCTGTTTGCAAATCGACATAAGGAACTCGAGTAGTCGAACGAAGAATACTCATTTGAGCATTCTAAAGATCAGTTTTAAATAAATTTCTCAATCAAAATCGATATCCTACCAAAGTTTTTTTAGTTCGCATTTGAGCGTTGATTTTTTGGTTAATTTCAGTAATTCCATGGGTTAGAAGTTCGATTTCACCGTGTAGAAACTCAATATCTTGTGTTAATTTTTCCACATTGTATTTGGTCTAAAAGAAATCCAATGTTTATCCTATCTTTTTCTTTTTTCCTAGATGATTTCTTACTTTTTCTCGTGTTAATTGATGAAGTTCTGCTCTAATTACTGATAAACGCCGATTATTCGCTTCATTTATTTGATTAGTCTGTAAACTGAAACGAAATTTCGATGCAAAACACCATATTCAAACATCTTCTTCTTACTTTGTATGTCGCTCGTCTTCGTCACTCATATTTATCAACAATTGTAAAAATAAAACTTTTCAATTACTTGTTTTCCATACTTCTGATTGATTCTAATATATTCAAAAAAAACTTATTTTAACATAACTGTTTTCTAGACGATAACCAAGATAGATAAGGACGAACAGATTTCTGTCCGAATCAATCTACAACAAGGAAAAAAGTTATTACGTCTGTAGAAAAAAAAATCATTCGACACGAAATTACGGAGTTACGTAGTAAAAACATTCGAGTAGCAAGCAGGTAAGACGTGGCATATGATATACAATCAAAACAAAGCGACCTACAAAAAAAGCGAGAGAAAAGAAAAGAATGAAGAAAAAAGTGTTGATATTCTAGGTCAAAGAAGTGTAAGATAAGAAGACTTTTGATAAATCAATGAGTACATTTTTTTGTAAGAGAAGTCATTTTAACAAAACTGCCCTCGTTTATCAGATAAACTGTCTTGAAAAAGACAATAATCAAAATAATGTATGAAACATCGAGCGCCATCTATAAATATTGATGAGTAGATCTAAATATGCGATTAAAAGCATTTTCCGAGCTTTTTCTTGACAGAAGAAAATTTGAAATGTGAAATTTTGTGAGAAAAACATCAAATTACTAGGCAACAAAATACAATGTGAACCGAGATGGTTGTCTCCTCACAAGCAAACAAATCAACAGACTTGATGTTACGGATATAACCAGCTCCCGGCAACCTGTTTCTCATTCTATAAACATAGACATTTGAGAAGAGGATATCGATCAAATTACGTTGAGAAACGTGTGCATAATCTTTCTATCGCTATTATTTTCATTTATTCAGTAAAAAAGACCTTAAGTATTGCTCTCTCATTGATCAATCACAGTGTGTGTTTTTCACGAAAATGAAAGGTTACTTGTACAGTCAAGATGGTTCATACGCGTTTCCTCTCGGTCCGAAAGTAACCACAATTGGACGAGAAAATTGTGATATCAGCATCAATGTAAGTTGTTCTATTTAAAAAAATTTCAATTGAATCGTCAATCTTTACTATCAGAGTCCAAATGTGGATAATCAACATGCGTTATTAGAATATGACAATGACCAACATTGTTTTATATTAAAAGATCTCAATTCCTCAACAGGTTCATTTGTCCATGATTGTCGTGTTCAAAATGCAGCAGTACGATTAGCTGATGGAGATATCTTAAAATTTGGTTATAATGGTTTACCACTTGAATTTCGAGTTGAACAAACAGAAGTATGAGTTTATCATTCTATTCAGATAGAATACGGTGAGAAATTTGTTTTTAAAGACAACAATGCCATCGATTTATCAGCGACAACCGACAGGAAATTCTCTTCATGTGATTACTCAAACGATTCCATCGCGTCGATCAAATAGTACAACATCTCAATACCCTCAGCAGATTGATGTACAACAAAATCCAGGATTTTCTCTCAGAACTCGTCCGTCAAGCGCTGGAACAAGGAAGCCGCTTGGTATTGCAACAAGTACTACTCAAAGCTCGAATGCACTTCGTGATTCTCAAATTCGTCGTAAATAATCAGTTGCATCGTCTTGATTGCTTTGAAAAAGATCATTGTTTTAGCGATAACCAATGCTTGGACGATTACAAGTACTGGAAATCCTAATCGTAGTTTAATCAACGGAAGTTTTTGTGGTGAAGTCGATCTCACAGGTCAAGACAATACTGAAATCATCAATCGTGTTGATCAACTTGAAAAGGAAGTCAAGGGACGTGATGGACAGATTCGTGAATTAACAAATAAAGTAAAACCAGAGTTTTTAAGGAGTATTTGAAAACAAACTTTGGATTTTTCTAATAGGTTCGAACATTAGAACCATTGAGTTCGACATTTACGAGTGAAGTTCAGTCATTGAAATCGGAACTGGATAAAGTTAAACGCGAAAAACACGCAGCGTCAGGTCTAGTGTCAAGTCTC